GTTCACAGAGATACTGGCCCTGGTTCACCAGTGGGGGAAAAAAAAAAAAAAACAAAAACAAACAAAAAACAAACCCACAATTGTTTTATTTTGTCTTCAATTAAAAAGAAACATTTTTTTCTGTGAACTGGCTATTTTTAATGCCTCACTCTCTTGTTATGTTCACATCCTACTGCTGTGGCTGGAGAACACCTTGTTGTGAAAAAGCTGTTTGGGTCACCCTGAGTATCACTGGTAAAGACTTAAAATAGTCTCGAGTCTGCTGAATAATCATAGCAGGGATGTGGGATGCAATGGCCTGTGGACTGAAGATCCCGACACCTCCTGTCTTTAATGGTGACTGTGCTCGTGGGAGACATAACCAGAGTAGCTTGAAATCCTTCTGGCCACATAGCTGGAACAACATGAAACCTGGTGCCTGCAGGAAAGCATGGCCAAGAGGCAAGGTACTTTGTCCACGATGCTTTGACTAGAGTGCTCTCACCACTTACGTGCATCAGTGATTTCAGTGTCAGTGCTACCCTCATCGGTTAAGGGGAGAAACAAAAGAGTTTTTGAGGTCTAGTAGTAAAAAGAAACCTACCGCCAAGGCCGAGAGCAGAGTTTGGGGGAGAGCACTATCACACGGAGCAGCTATCCAGCAAATGACAGACTGTATTTTGGGTTTCTCTTTATGTTTCTGATTCTGGTAATTCATCTTGTGGTTTTAGGCAATGATTGCAGCTGGAAAATAACACAACAATGAGAAGCTTAAAATATATAATGTAAGTAAATAAAAATACATGAACCAGAAAAGTAGAAAGCCACAATACCGTATCCTGAAGTTATTTTTTTTCTTCTATAGCAAAAATGCATCTGACTCTTCCGTGGGTAAATGAATAACCTGGATTTTGAGGCCAGATTTTTGCTTGAACACTGTCTTTTGTCATTTTGTCTAATAGTCCTGTTCTCAAATCCAAAACAACCTACAATTTATTTGAAGAAATGAAACAGGAAAGTATGCATGCCCAATGTTAACTAGTGCATTTGAAAAGCAAATACTTTCCTTTTTTTCCTGCCCCTTCCCCAAACTCTCTAGAGATATGTGGCACATCAGTGCTTTTTGTTTGGGGGAAAATGCTAACCTAGCAAACAGGAAAATCTTCTAAGAGGGGGATGGACCAGCTCATTCCAGGAGGTTGGAGTTGTGCAAATGAGATATATGCAGCCTTTAAGTATTAGCCAGTGAGTTCATTGCAATTTCTTGTATGTTAATTTATACTGACTCTGAAGTGTACAAAATATATTTTGAATATATAATATAAAAACACTGAGTCTTTGGGATTCTTCCTACTTAATCAAATGAGAATCAGAAATATATATGGAAGAGAATGCTTTGGTCTATTTATAATGCATGCTGTCTAGACAGCTGACTTTATAAAAGGAATTTCCTGATTTATTTTTTTTTCTAAACAGAAGAAAAAGTTTGCTCCTGGGGCTAATTGTTAAACAAGGGAACCAGGGTAGCACATGTGTAATCCATGAAGCTGATACGGCAAGGTCTGTAAATGATATTGGAGTGTAAGTAGGAAACAGATTTTGGCATTCAACACAGGGCTAAATATGAGTATAGACTGCTAACTAGGTACACATACAGGGTATGTAGTCTTGTCTGAAAAAAAAGCAGATTTGTATCTATTTCTGTAGACTTTTGCATTTTAAAATATGCCAGAAGTATATGTTGCTGTATTAATTCCTGGGGAAAAGTTTGCCATAATTCAGGTCTGAGATGGGAGCACGATACATTACCAGAGCCCTTAGACCAGTTTTAAGGATTTAAGGCACACAGACACTGTGTTAGGCCTCTGCAAAGGGGTGAATAACTTCTGTTCTCTTCAAAACTTCAGATTAAAATCCTGAACCCAATAAAATGGATAGTAAAATTCTGATTTCAGGAAATTAGGGTTTCAACTTTAGAGTTTCATCTTGTGCCTATCAAAGTGAATGAGTAATGCCATTCATTAGGGTGAGTTCAAGAATGAGTCACTAACCCTCTGTAGTCACTAATGGTAAAATACATATTATATACTTTTAGGACTTTTAGGATCTTTTTCTCATAAACTTCAAAGAAATGATGATAAAGGTCTATATAAATAACCTTGGTAACATCAGAAGAGAACAGTTCTGCTTTCAAGAAAGTCTATGGCAGATACAACAGATTTATTACTGAGCAGAATGTATATTGGGGGGGGCTGTTAGTTTGGTTTTCTTTTTATTTTTTAATGAGGCATCAGTCATTTACTAAAGACTAATTAGAATAAATTTCTCAGCATTTGTAGATTTGCTCCTTTCATGATTCAGGAGATAAACCTGCTTTGTTCTTTGTCTTTTCCTTTCTCTCTTTAATGAAGTGTTTCTTAATAAGATACTAATTAAAATCCTCCACACCCTTATTTGATTGCTGTTAATTTGGGACAGAAAGCACTTCTTACTGAATCTGTTTCCCTCATGAGTCCATCTTGCAAACAGATTGGCCAAAAGGGTATGTTTAGATCCAAAGTGTATCTTTGCACATCTACGCACCTGTGTGTGCCAGGTCAGACTGGGATGAAGGATCAGTGTCTGACATCCAGGAGGCTCCCAATGCCGAGTCCTGGGTGCTTGCAGCCTCAGGAGGTTCCCTGCACTGCTGTGGTCTTCGGATGTCTGAAATTCCCTGCTCCAGGAGCCGAGACTCTGCTGGCCTGAAACTTTTTGCTAAGGTGCAGAAGGGTATTTATATGATCATATCAGTGCTTGCAGTTGACTCATTGTATTTGCACTGATGCTGGAATAATGTATTTCTGCAAGGAGAAACAAACATATAATTTCCAGAAAAAAGGGAGCCAGACCGGATCTTGTTTGGGTGTCCAATTAGTGTGGCTGGGTTTGCTTACAGCTGGTGTGACTTAGGTGTTCAGAGACAAATAGCATATTTAATATGGAAAAAAAGATCTCTAGCCTTGATTTCATAAGCTGAACCATTACTTGGTTTGGAGTGTTTACTTGTTGAACATATTTTTTGATTATTCCTGTCTTGCATCCAGGAACGTCTGGTTGTGTTGGAGAGATTTAGTTCAATTAAGCAACTGAGCTTTCAAGATGTTCGTTATACTCAGATGCTGATCACCGTGATATTTTAATACAACAGACAGAAAGCGTGTACTCGTGACAACCCATTTACGTGAATGCACATCAATTTTTCCTCCATATTTTCTGCTGGAAGGCCTGATGCACTGTCAGCGCAGGGAGAACGCAGGGATTTTCCCCCTGCAGTCACTGTTTGGATGACAGGTGACAGGAGACTTGTCTTTCAATTTGCACTTCGAAGAAGCCAACCCTATTCTACCCGTTACACGGTGGATACCTGGCAGGCGACTGAAAGGCGTGGAGGCCGGTGCCAAGGGAGTTCGAGCAGCCGGTGTCGGGCTGCCCCCGCTGCCCCCCGGCCGGTGGCTCCCTCAGAGCGGCTCCTCGGCTAAAAAGCACTGCTGAGGATTATTTTCCATCAGTCATGTCTTTCATATAAAAACGTAGAAAACAGGGGAAATTATTTCTTTTTAATTATGAAACTATATTTTCCTGATGCGTTAGTACTATCAGAGAACCGATTTAACGCAGCTTTCAGTAATTTCACTGGCTGCAGAAACAAAATAAAACTATTATTTTTTTTCTTCCTGCATGATGCAAGACAGTTTTAGACTTTGATTTTCAGGGTTGATAAAATAAATTTATGCAAAGTTGGAAGTTTTATTAATACTAAATAATTTCTCACTGTGCAAACTCAATCTTCCCCTTTCCTGCTCAACCCCAGCTTTTAACTGAGCAAATTAACAGAAATTGTTTCAACATTTTACAAAATGGAGAGTGAATTAGATAACTCTGCAGTGTACTGGTCCACTGAGTGAGCCTACAAAAGTCATTTCTGCCTTGCTCCTCTGATTGTATTTTTGTTTTAGAGACAGGAGGTGGACAGAGTGGCTGCTTTATACTGCAAAATGGCAAAACAATCCTAATACAAACAATCAAGTTACAAAGCTAGACTACCCTCACAAAATAGTCACAATGGAAGAAATATTGCTGTGGCTCCAACTGTACGAACTTTACAATTTAAGATTGATACGAGAAATCCTGGGACTGTGACTGCAAGCCTACCTGGTGAATTCTCAGAATTTCTTGTCCAAGTTCAGTGAATCTAATAAAATGTTTTTCTAATAAGTCTTTTTTTTTTTAAAGTATAGGGACCAAATACACATGTAAACCAGGATCTTCCTCAAAATAGACCTTCTTGGACTTTTCACCTTTCTTCATGCTCACATACTGTCTTTTTTTTCTGAGGTGGTCCCTGGAACATCTCTCCTAAACAAGGTCCTGCCCTTGTCTCTTCTCACCATTGCTCTTTGGCCCTTCTTTGCCTCTACACCCAGACAGGCTTCATTTTGGATATGTTGTGGCTGCCAACCCAACAGTGAGAGAGGAGGCCCCCTCCTAAATTTTCCTTTATGCTTACTCTCTACTTGTAGCAGTCTCATGTCTTGTTCTTGTCCCTTCTCTGGACAAACAAGCGAGTCAGTGCGCTACAGCTTTCCTCTACCTGGGCCTGCTGCCGGGCAGCTTTCTCTGTTGCAGGTGCCCTGGAGGATTAGATGTGGTTCTTGAATGTGGCTTAAGTTGATCACTGCTTATAAAATATTACTCAGAGTAAGAGTGTCATAAGGGTTGTCTTTATCACAGATTTAACTTTAGGGAAGTGAAGTGTGAGTGGTAGGAAGAAATTCGGTGTTCATCAGCTGAGTGCAGACAAAATACTGTGGTTGCTGTATTTTACAGGGAAACTTCCTTCTGCAAAGAGGTCCTTAGGAAAATAGGAAGGAATATCCTGGGCCTCTCAACTGTAAAACCCACTGCTTTCATGGGTGTACTGATTTTGGTTACTATTTCTAAACAACATTTGAGGTGCAGAATCACAACTTTGCAACCAGTAAGGTTATAAAGTAGGTATGTTTATTCAGCGCTGGGCACACGGGGGATGACTCCACCACAGACGTGCGCTGCTTGGAGTGGAATACAGCACCTTTTTATTGCTTAAAAACGTTACATATTCACTGATTCTAATACATATGCATCACTACTCCAAGGATAGTGAGGGAATATTACAAGTAGTTCTGAGAAATCCTTAACATATCCTCCACACCAAGCGCACCCCCCCCACCCCGTTAGATCCCTAACTACAACTTTGGCCAGCCCTCCCCTAGCAACTCCCATGTTATCAGATAAATGGCATGTCTTCACAAACAAAGGGCATGTCCCAACAAACAATCTTCTCAAACAAAGGACATGTCTCAAGTCCCAGGTGCAACATTTCCTGAGGGTGGGGGGGCCATCTGGTTAATGTTTCCTTAGATCAAGTGTGTAGTGCTGATCTTGCCTACCTCAGACTACAGATGGTAGATACTTCTACAACAAATTATCTGTAGATTTAGTTGGCAATCAGGCAGAGTTCTAGCAGGCAGCATATGTAGCTTCTCAGTTTCTCAAACAATATAGACATATTGTAAAAGACTGTCTCAGTATCTCTTCAAAACCTCTTCTGCTGCTAGTTGTTGAGTAGATCCCACTGCTGCCAGTTATTGAGTAGATCCCATCTCTTCAGTAGATCCCGTTTCTTCAGCAGATCCCATTTCTTCAGCAGCTCCAGCCTTGCAGCTCATGACCCACTTCTTACCTCACATGCGTATTGAAGTGTCCATAGCTTCAATCACTGCTGTCTGCCTTTTGGGATATGGTGGTGGGGCAGCTCCTTCCTCACTGCCCGTCCCAGGAGGCATCAGTGTGGATCCTCACAGCCTCGCCGGTGGCTCTGCACACAGGCTGCTTCCCCGCTCAACCCATTTCTTGCCATGAGCATTCCCTCTTTGAGCCTCTTGCTTCCTCTTACATTCAACGTGAAATACAAGCTGACAGGTGTCAGTGCTGTGGCTCTCCCGAGGCGTAAGAAGGCACTCGGAGCAGGGTGACACCGTCAGGGGTTCTGCTTATGGGGTGCTGGTTGCCACCCGCCGCAGCTGTTCCCTGTTAGGAGACACCAACAGGGGAAGATTTCTGCCTGTGTGGATGGTACCAGCTCTTTCTACAATTATTTTTTTTTTTCATTATTCCTTTGTATTTGTTAATAATTGAAGTTTGGCTAATTTAAATTAGACTGTTTTGATTTCTGACTTATCCTAAATTGTTGTAGCAACAACAGTAGTGTTGACAAGTGCTGTGATTCAAACCCCGAAGGAACATGAATGTTGAATAAGAATATGACTTGTCCTTCACACTTCCAGGGTTTGAAGTATCTGCCCCACTCATAGCATGCTTGTTTCTCTTACATCCTGCCAGATTATTTCCGATGCTACTTCCTGACTTGTCTGGTGATCCTTAGTGTACTGCTTTGCTGTACTTCATTGGAGACATTGTTATTTTAGGAGAATCATGTCCTTTCAGATTAGTCATTTAGAAAGTACTGGAGAGACATATGTTTGTGTGTGTGTGTGTATATATATACTGGTATTTATATTTTTAACTCTATGTTCAAAAGTCATGCAGAAAAAACCCTGAAAAATAGTATTTTGTAAAAGGCAGAAAATGAATCATTAGAAGAAGTTACCACCCTTTTCACTCTGGAAAGTAAACAGGCAAAATAACCTGAGGAAGATGAAGGCAAGATAACTTATCAGAAAAAGGATGTGGGTCATCATATGAGGTTGTGATGACTTCAGGTGAGGTTGGTTCTGATCAAAGACCGCTGAACACTTAAGGAGTCAATAGGATTTCATTATCATAGATCATTCTTCAAAATTTCTGTATGACTACATTCCTTCTGGTCCTGTGTGAGTTGGTAAATCCTAGTTAGGAATGGGTGTGTTCTGGTGTCGTCTGCTTCCCTCCAGAAATTAAGTCAGTGCAGAATTAAGCCAAAGACATGCTTACGGCAAAAATTAGTTCAGATCAACTGTAAGAACCTGAGCATAATCCAGTACAAATCGGGTCAGTGCACAGTAAGTAGGCGACTCTGTAAGGAGTATTCACACGTCTGTGTTTCAGCATGCAAGGCACAGGTCAGAACCAGAGCACCCATGTTGTGCCCTTCTCCTCTCCCAGGGTGTCACATTCCTCTGGGCTTCTTCATCTCCACCACCTTGTACCCATCCCTTCCAACGCGCATCCGGGTGCCCCAAGCTGGTGGCTGGTCCCTACCCCGTGTCTGGGGGGAGGATGGGTCAGCTAGAGAGTCACTTGTCAGGAGGCACTTAGTGCTTCAGCCTTAGCTCTTCGTGCTTTGCCTGCAGCCTGCCATACTGCCGCCGGCAGCTCACCCATGATTACAAGGAAACTGCTGCACTGGAAATACTTAAACCATAAATAAGAGGTTTGCTACATTATGCTGAACTTGGAGGAATAATCTTTTTATCCCTCTTCGAAGGAAGGAAGAAGCAGGACTACACAATTTTTTGTGGTAGTATTATACCGCAGGGTGGAAAGATTAAAAAAAAAAAAAAAGAGAGAAAATTTGATTTATTTTAGCTTAAAAAAAGAACTGTGTGGAAAACTTCAGATATTTGAATGTAATTTATCACTCAGTTGTAAGTGGGCAGGAGAGCTGCACATTTCAGTAAAATTGTGAGTGGCTGTCTCTAAAATCAGGGACCTTTTTGTCTGGAGGAAGACCATGTTATGCCTTTTTCATTAAAAAGTTGAACTACCTATTATGGCTATTTTTATGTATTACAGTCAATTTTGGCATTTTACAAAATGTGCCTGAACATCCCTTATTCTTTAAAAATTGGGAAATCATTCAATATGTGCCCACAAAAGCACTTTGCAACCTGCCCTGCTAAAAAGTCAGCAAATACACTGACAACAATTTTAATGGTCTGTTAATAAAGATGAAGTAACACTGTGATTGATTTATTATTGCAGGGGGTTTGATTGGTAAAGAAAACAAGACAACATCAGTTCAATACTGCTAACTCCATTCTCTGTTTTCTTTTTATTTTTCATCTGGCTCCACATTTGCTGCATTTCCATGATACAGAATAATTTTTTTACCAAGAACTCTCTGCATATATACAAGAAAATCTATTTTTACTTTAGGTCTTAAAGGAAGGAACACTACTTTTGCTGCTAAGTGAACTTACTTATGAATTCGAAAACAATTCCTTCATCTGATTTAAAAATAGGTATGAAATTTCTAATCCTTAAAAAGAAAATAATTTAGTAATTTAAATTACATATCTCAGAAAAATGCTTTTTATTTTTCTTTGAAATGTACAGTCAGTTAAATGTCTAACTAACTTCAGCACAGATAATCCAAAGTCAAATCAGTTATTTTAGTTGCAGATCTGCATATGTGCATTCATAGCCTTATGTAAAAAACATTCTAATTGATTTATTTCAGTTGTATCCTTAAATAAAAGATGGAATTTTTACCTTGCTGTGAAAATGAAAAGCTATTTTCTGATTAGCAATTCCCAGAAGTTTGTTAAGAGAGGGAATCGCTGCTGATTAATGAAATTGCAGTTGATTCACTGACATATCTAGTGCAGGAAGGTGTGGGCAGGATGCATACTGCCTTTCGGCTACAGCAGCCAGAGTTATAGCATGATGCTTGTAGAAATTACTCAGCTGTGAGGAGAGGGAATGAATGTTGCATTGGGTTGCATTCCTTTTGTGTGTATAATTTACCATCTTTCCTCATTCATGGCATTGCGACAGCACAGCTCATGACACTACATTAGCTTTAGTGGGATTTTGCTTCAGCCCTTGGCCCATGTACTTGGAGTTCACTGCAGACTGATGTACTGGGATATTAAAATTCCACTGACTGTAGATTTTCTGAAATGTGAACTCCACTAGAGGATACTGAGTTCTCTGCAAAATTATTTTCCTTACATAAAGCAAAGGTTGAATTTTATGGTTTCAGTTCCATAGGCAGCTATATTTGGGTATAACAGGCTCCTTTGCACAGTGCATGCAACAAGAAAATATATGTCTGTGTAGACTAGCTTCTTGTCAAATTTGTTGCTCATATTTCCAGTCTGGACCAGACATGAAAAACAGATAACAAGAATTAAGTTCAGAATATCAAAGAGTGAATAAGTAGCATACATACCTGCAAAAGGATTTCATCTAAATGTGCTAAATTGATTAGTTCTAATATAATTCTAAATCAATACTTTCAAACCTCAAAGCATGTGATGCTCACTGGAACACACAGAGCAGAGTAACAAAGGGAGACTATTCCTTCTTGTTTGGTACTTTTTACTGATTTTGCTATATATGCCCTGCCTTTTTAGATAACGCTTTGTCTGAGATGAGCAACAGCTATATGTTAATGTGTCACAATTTAGGATGAACTTTGGAAACACACATGACAAATAACAAAGTTCCTATAAATCTCACATTCTACCAACCAGTCTCTTGTTCAGGCCATGTATTCTCAAGACCATGTTCAAGATCTCTTGTTTGTGCCTTGAGCCCACTTGGCAAGTCTGGCAGCAAAGGAAACATTTTCTTGTTTTGAAGCCCACTTTATATGCAATTTTCAGTTTAGTATGTGATTCATCACCAATATCAAGATCAGCCTCTTGTCCTCTACAGAAGCCCCACCTTTCCCCCAGAGAAATTATATGTTTCCGGCAGCAACATTTGGCTGTGAGCAGCGCACAGGAGCCATCCAAAGAAAACCGTACACTGTATTTTTCCTTCTGTCTCCAAATGAAGATTGAAGGGAGGAGCAGAGGAGCAGTAAGAGGAATCCTCTGACCGGCCTGCCCGAGGGCTCCGAGCCCCAGCCTTGCCAAGCATGTGTGGCCGGTGCAGAACATCTTTCCCAGCACAAAACCAGGCTCTGCTAGGGCTGGCTTTCAAGATAGTCTGACACAAGCTGAAGAAACTCTTTTGTTTGTTTGGGCCGTTTAATTTTTTTCCAAGAACCCGCCTACACATGAAGATTTGTGACCCCTGAGGGAGCAGAGTAGGTGATGGTGTTTTGTGGGTCACTATATGGGAGTGATTTAAGGCACTCTCAGATGCAAATTTTAATCCCAAATTGCCAGTGGGCTCAGCACTCCTGAGGTTTTAGTTAGCTCCTCATGCCTATCAGCACTTTCTTCTAGTGCTACTGAGAGCACGACAAGCCTGTGCATTATGTGGAAGCCCAGGGAATGTGGCCCTGAAAGTGCGTTTGGATCACTCCAGTTGAGCTGATGTGGATGAAGATGTTGACATAAAAGAGGTCAGAATAGGAAAGCTGGGCATAACTTGGAGCCAATCACAATAAAAAGAGACAGCTTACAAAAATAGACAAAATGCTGAGAGGGTTACTCGTGTTGTTGAGGTAGGTTTGGTGGTGGTAGTGATTTGGTTTGTTTGTTTTTTGTTTTTTTTTTTCTGTACTGAAGAATGGAGGAACAGAAAGGATCAGAGCAGTAGCTATTGGGCTTTAGCTGTTCCCAGCTGGTGGCTGGCATTTTAGGGGCATTCCCAGCAGGCATACTTCAGAATAGCTGATTACTGTAGACTAGGTCTCTTGCTGAACCATCCTTAGAATAGTAGTGATTCAGCAGACTGTAGATGTGGTTTAGAATTTAACCCTATTTTTGTAAAGCGCCTAATGCATGCTTAATTTCTATAAAAGTAATTATGATAATCATAGTTTGCTTTTGGACTGTGCTCAAGTGTTTCAAGAATATCTCTGGAATTTCAGAGTTCTACATAGAGGTTTTATCTCTATCTATAGCTACGAATGCAAAAAAAAAGAAAATAAAAAATTGAAATAATTATTTCCAGAATACCAGGTATTAGAAAGGATTAGCAAAAGAGTTCAGTGCTCAAAATATTTTACTAGTATAATTAGAAACAGTCTGCTATAGGAAAAAAAAGAAGATTAAAATATGAATCTGCATGAGTACATAATAACCTCACCGTAAATTAATATATTCAGTTATAAATGATACCTGAAATGGAAAAGAAGATCTTGGGGCAAAGGGAGGCTTTACTGAATGATTAAGTTTTTTAATTACAAGCAACAATGTAGGAAACATTTCTCTTCTGAATCTCTTCCCTCTTTTCCCAGGAGGAAATGTTTATTTTGTTCCCTAAACAACTTTGATGTACCATATATGTTTCTTTATTTTGTTCCATTCCAGTATATGCGTTTCCTTTAAAAATTCTTCTGACATCTGTATGAATTATTTTAATTGTCCATTTCCAATCTAGGATAGTCTGTGACAGATTATTTTAGAATAGTTTGGGTTGGAGGGGACCTTTAAAGGTCATCTATTCCAACCCCCTTCATCTAGGGGCATTTTCCAACTCTGGCATCTGGCAGCAGGGCTAAGCGTGAGCTTGGACTCTTCACAACAGCAGCATTATCAAATTTGAAATCTAACTGTATGGAAGTATTAACTTATAAACTCTTTTCCTTAGTGAGACAGCAAAAGCAAGAAAAATAACCCAATTATAAAAATTCAGGCAGGTCCGGTATCCTAGAATTTTCAGTTTCTTGTTCCTCTCCATGTCAGGGTAGTAAATATTCACTGGACAATTATTCAATTTACCTTCAAAGGATGAAAATATATCTCAGGGTTTATTGCGAAAGCTTTTTTTTAAAAAAAGAACTTTTGCAATCTACTGAATTACCAAGAATGAGGATGTCAGGTTTATAAATATGAATTAAGGACTACATTGCTGCTGGTAATGTCACAAATAGCTGCAAGCATACAATCTCTCCAGAAAATGTAGTTTTATTGCAACATGTAATTAGACAAGTTGCATTTGTAGCTTTGAATTCCTCACCTCTATACAGATTTGTTCCTACAAGTCTCTATTCCTGTGGTTTGCATTTTGCATCCCTAGGACAATTGCATTTAATCAGAATGTCATCAGTGCCACATTCTGCCACAGCAGGAAGACTGGGGCTGGGTTTTAATATTGGAGGCTTGGCTGGTTAATGAAATTGATGTGTTTGCTGGAACATATACTTGAGATTCCCTTGAAAGTGAGCCCAGATCTAGAATTTCCAAGACAAGTTATAATACTTTCAGCCAGAAGACCAAACCTACCATCTGTGAAGCTGAAATGTAGTTTTGCTGCAATTTACAATAAACAGAGCAAGGTCATATGAAAAATTTGCATATTGGCAAAAGTCTGATGAGGGTAATCTCAGGCTGAGGATGATGGTGCTCACCTTAGTGGTGAGTTTAGTTTGTATTTTCATATGGCTCCAAGGTCTGACCACCTTGTGAGATTAAAATGTGCTTTGCTTCAACTGGCTTTGTCCTGATGGGCATCCCTTCTAGCATTAGTATTGTGCCCATAAACAATGTACAGTCAAAACTTACAGCTTTCATCCAGAGTATTCAAAAGTCATCCTTGGAACCAGAGTTACACCAGCATCACAGTCAGGCTGCTCTTACCACTTGTGTGGAGGTTCTGTTGCACTGTTTCATGCATTACAGGAGAAGGATACAATTATCTTTAAATCGTCTCTATTAAAAATGAGAAGTCAATGAAAATGAATTCAGTCTTTTCCTTCAGTGCTAACTTAAATTCAGGGGTTGAAAACTTATCAAAAAGGTTGCTTGTTGCTTTTATTTAAGTTCTTAATTGATAGAGAGGAACCACAGCTCCTATTTTTAAATGTGCTTTCCTTATGTAGTACTGCATATCCTTTATCCTCTATTACTGTGAAATATTTGATTAACCAATTAGTATTTTAAGGAAAAAAATAATTTTGTCATACATAGAGAAAGCAACTGCATTTTGTTAAATACCCTTCCTGTGAACTCAGTTTATGAGGTATTTTTCATCCTGGTAAAGCAACTTAGCCAAGGTTTTAAAAGCTCCAAGTGAAGAGAAGCTGTGGACACTGTCCATGCACTTCTGAATGTCATTCTTCAACTACTGGCAAATATGCCCCCTCTGTAGGCATACAGGTGCAATGCAGGCACTTAAGGGAAGTAACATCTGCTGAAGGTCCACTGATTCCCACTGTCTTTGTCGTTAATGAAGACATTAAATAGTATTGGTCCCAGTATGGACCCTTGAGGGACACCGATTCTTACTGCTTTCCACTTGCATATTGAGCCACCGACTTTAACTCTTTGGGTGCAGCCATCCAGCTAATTCATTAACCATCTAACAGTCCATCTGTCAAACCCATATCTCTCCAATTTAGCATCAGGAATATTATGAGGGACTGTAAATCATTCACTTCATCAACATAGCTTTATTAGTTGGTGCCTTTTAGGAGGTTTGGAAAAACAAAACACACACACAAAAAAAAAAACAACATATGGAAGTTAGGGTGGCTCTTTCATTGTTCTCAAACACGTAACCATAGACTTTCTCCTATAACAGGGCTGGAACTTCATTGTAGTTGAAAGGAACAGAGGGATTTTCCTTCCCACTGAGATTCAAAATGTTTCAGAGATTTTTATTTTTATTGTTTTCTAAAAGCCATGGACTGGCAGTCTCCATGTGGTGGCTTAGGGTCCAAGGGATTTCTTAGAAATTACTTCAGATTTCATGCCGCTAACTAAAAGAAGCTTCTAGCTGGGCTTCTGTGATCCCCACCCTTCACAGCTGGATGGGGACATCAGCTACACATGGGATGGGACTTGATGTGACAGACAACTTCTGAAAACACATCTGAGCATGTCTATTGGCCACTTTTTTCCTTAGGGCTTGCATACCAGAGGCTCTTCTCTTTGCCAGTCCATTTCTAAGGGGATAAAAGAACATCTGTTCTGAAGGCTATAATACGTGTTCAGTGTTTTGTAAAGAAAACAGTTTTACATCTAGTAAAGAAGTAAACATTTAATTTATTTAATAAAAACAATTCTCTGGAAGGTCAGCTACAAAGGGAGAGTTGCATGTGTGAGCTGCTTGGGAGTGTAAAATTCTAGAGAGTTCTTCCTGAAGGGTTCCGTATTTTGAGTTCAGAGCAAGATCTGGTCTGTCTCTGAGGTGGCTGCAAAGAAAGATGCCCAGATGTGGAAATGACTCCGAGGAAAAATATCTAGAACATCAAGAATCTTTCATACTTTTCCAGTTATTCTTTCACAGAAATGATCATACATGTTTATGGATACTGGAGAAATTTCTCGAAGTGTTAATTTATCCAGGCAATCTTTTCCAGTCGTGTCCTGCCTTCCACGGGACCAGAGGCAGAGCTGTACTGCTTGTAGGTTGAAGAGTTGCTCAGGAGATGGTACTGCAGTCAGTTTAAGTTTGATGACAAAAGCTAGTACAAAAATTGAGGATGATCCTTGGCTAATTATAACTGAATTTTCACTGCTGATACTGAGAAGAGCCTGAGCCATGAGGTGACTTGCAGCTTTGCTAAGTTACATTTATGTACTAAGTTATGTAGGAACATTTGGATATTTCTTATTTCTTATTTAGGTATTTCTTTTCAGGTTGTGCCACTGTTCTTGCCACGTGTGGCATGTTTCTCAGAACCCGTGTGCATGGAGGCTGTGAGCTCCTCCACAGAGGTCAACTCATCACATTGCCAGCACAGGATTTCCCAAAGAGGAATGGGGAACACTGACACGTCCATGCTTCCTCAGCAGGAAAATGTTAGTCTGGTGCCAAGGGCCAGATCAGGGGGATTTTCAAGCATTTCTTGGGTTGGGGAGGGGGGAAAAAGAGCTGAAAAAGCCAGCTCAGTTTCTGTGTCCTGATGGGTCTTCTCCTGCTATTAACATGTGCTGGTGGAAGGCGGGAGGAGGGTGCCCCCCCCCCCCCCCCATTGTGTTTCCTACATTGAAATTGGAGTTGTGTCCTCCAGCACAGTTTGGCTGCTGCAAAGAAAGGTAGTAAAAAGAGTTGCTGTCATCAAAGAGTGTGCAGAAGACATTATTTCACTCCAAAGTGTTTCTAAAATCTAAAATGTCATAACTTATGGTGCTGCAAAATTGCACCATATTGTTTTACCTCTGGTGAATTTTTTTTCTTTTCTATTTTTCCTTGTGTCTTTATCATTTGTGTTTTCTTACCATTCTTTCATTCCAGTAGGCATGTACAGTATCACAGCAGTGCCTGAAGAGCTGTTTATACAATGTGACAAAAACCTACTTCAAGGAATAAGTAGCTTTTTAAGTAAATCAAAAAACAGATAAAGGAAAAAGAAGGTATTTTCTAGGTACTCAGATGATGCAGAATACAAGTCTGTGGTCACAAAGGAGGAGTCAAAGACTGGACTTAGAGCTTCAGTAAAGTATGAAGAATCACACTTCTTAGGCATCCCGCAGTAGGTGATGTTATTTGTGAGGAGATCCTGACCTGCTTGTTATGCCTGCATGCTGTTTCCTAGAGGGTCACCTTCTCCTGCATAGAGGGCTCCATCAAAAGCAGAAGTGGGGGAGAGAATGAAATGCCATCTGCAAGTTCTTAATTTGCACTAAGAAAAACCTTTTAAGAGAGCAATAATAATTGCACGGACATGCTTCCTCCCTTCTCTTCCAGTAACTGCACACACCTCCACTACACCCTGGCAGAATTATATATGAAATGTGCGGTATCGTGAAATTTTTTGAATAATGAGGGAACTCTGATGCTGGAAGCACAGACTGTTAGAGAAAGTGATCTTCCAATTAGTCTTACTCTTTTTCCTTAAAACTCTCCATCTCTGATATTTGTGATTTCAAGGCTGTGTGGATTTGCAGATAATGAATTTCCATGCCTCAGAGACTTGTTGTAGTCTCCTTTTTGCCTGCTCACTTCTAGATTTTCCTCCTTCCATATAAATAGAAATTTGTGAGCTGTGAGCTAGAATCCATCATGGAAAGAAATGCTCTGGAAATAAAGTAGCTAGCTGTATTTTTTGTGCCTTTCAAGGACATAATTTCTTATGTGCCAGAGAAGAGGAATCAGTGAGTAAACAAAAAGGAAGAAACAAAAAAGTAAGACCACCTGCATTTCAGACTATGACAAAGATAGATGTGAATCTAAGGTCCATATCTTGTGGCCTGAATACTTGCCAAAATAATCAGTCCCTTCCATGGCCACATACTGGTATTACTGGCTTGCAGAATCCCTATTAATAAAAGGTTTTGCATTGGAACCAATATCAGGGTAGAGTTTTGAACAGATATTTATTTGTTTAAACAAAGTTTGACAAAGTGTACTGTATTTAGACTTGTACTTTTCCACTGTCAAAATGTTACATCTCAAAACTACAGAATGCCCTCAGGGAGACACACATTTCTGTATTTGGTAAGGAGGCAAGAAAAGGTGTGTCTGGCATGAACAAATCTTGGTCAAATGCTTTACTTTATTTCTTTTACTGCATGCTGGGTTTGCTCTGAAAACAATTAACAAGAAGAGAATGTTCCCATTTCACTTTCCTCTTGATTAACCCTCTTCTACCCAGGGTACTAGCTGTTTATTAAGGTTTGGAAGTAAGATTTAGTAGTGGAATAAGAGAAGCAAAGTGCAGGACTTGCAGTAGCACCACAGAGGTTATGCTGTAAAATCTCATGGATCCCCATTCAGTGCTTTCCAAACATCTCACCCTGCGTTCTTCAGACAACATCCCTCCTGACCCAAAACCACAGCTGAGTTATGAGTGTGACCCAAGAAGCCAGCAGAAGTTGGCCCAGAGTATCTGTTTCTTTTTTGACCATGCCCATTCACTAGATTCATGTGCCTTGGAGTTCAGCCATTACACCAGTGCCATCTCTGACCAAGTACTTCTGCACTGGAGGAATGTACCAGCATGAAACTCGCCATGGAGGCGTTTCAAGTATATGATTTGAAAAGCTAACATCAGAGATTGCACCTTCTTAGAGGTCGGCAATGCAAGATTTGTTCCTGTACATATAAGGAATTCATTCAGAGTATGTGAATCATGATACTAGGTCCTTTCTTTGAAAAATCATATCAGATGTAAATAACTGCTTCCTTCACTTTTAAACTTTGTCCTGCAGAACAATAGCCATGGGTTGTAATGGAAGATACAACCTTAAATGTTCACAGTCTTTGTCAAACCTTTTTAACAGTTAAAAAAAAAAAGACCACAGAACTCCATTTCTTATGAGCAGAACAATTCTTAGCTTTCCCCCCCAGCATCCCCACTGAACAATCCAGTACACAGCCCTTCATATTAAAAGGGATCAAGGGAGGCCAAGAGTTTAAGAAAAGCAGCCTTTAAAGATGCTATTTGATATGAAGATAATACACACTTTGGTAGCTTCAGGAACTGTATGTTTATCTATATCATCTGTATAAAACTATTAATTATTACCTCAGACAGTGGTTATGGGGGAAAAGAGACTGTTCTCATCAACACAGATATCAAAGATAAATGAGGGTAAAAAATGAAGCATCTAGTATTGTACCTCTGAAAAACAGCTGTACTTTGTTCATGGCAGGTAATATAATGTCTCCCTGAGAAAACTGGGTGAGTCAGGCAGTTTATTACTGTTTTCTAGTAAAGCTGTTTTAATTGACAGCCATATTTTGAAAGAGACAAATTTGTTCTTTTAGGGTTGTTTGTACACTTTCTTTTTAATATTTCATTCACCGGTTATGTAAAGAGTTAGATTTCCAAGTAGGCAGTCTGTAAATTGTTTATTGTCATACGTGAAAACACTTTGCAACTTACAGTTTTCTGCTGACTCCTTGCTGTGATAGTTTGATCAGTTATTAGAGAAATCAAATGTTCTTTCCCCAGCACTGCAAGAGCTCTGTCTCAGCTTGTGTAATGCCCTTTTCCCTGAGTGCACCATATTTTCATTACAGAACCAGCCCACTGAACATCTGAAAACTTAATTTAGAGAAGTACAATGACATTAGTTGAAATATTTTATATGTTTTATATAAGTGAAACCATGAAAGAGGGAAAAAAAAAAAAGATTTCTGAGGAATGTAAATTACTAAAGTACAGCAGAATCAGCTGCATGCTACTTTGCTGTAAGTAATGAAGTGGCTGACAGGATCATTCAACTGCTAACCAATGGAGGGAGAATTTATTGCACTTACTGATAACTGTTCACTGACATTCAGTTTTTTTTTTCCCCTCCTAAAAACATTATTACTACCTGTAACAGAGAGTAAATGTAAAGAGTGGTATCTCAGGTAACTTTGGATGTGGCTGCATGTTTATCAGTATGAAAGAAAGGGGAAGAGCATCATCTGAAAATGGTTTGGAGATCATCCTTATGGATCTACTTACAATTAACCTTAGACTAATATTTGGATTTTCTTCTTGAAGCATGAGTTCTGGAAAACAAAAGGCAAAGATGTGACAAACAAAGCACTTCCAAACAGTAGAGATCAGTCTGAAGATGCTGATATTAAAGAAATGCAGCTCTCTGCATTATATATGTAGATAGCAATTATTTTTTTATGGAGTGCCTTTTGACTCACAGCAGAGCTGACTGGCCAGCGTGGTTACACTTTCACTGCCTCAGAACTTCTGTACGATTCTGTTTGACACTAGGCCTAAAAAAGTATTAGAAGAACAGTTCATTTAAAGGGGAGTGACAGAGAATGTAGTGGTACTAACAACTGCTTCTATGAATGTTTTTGTTAAGAAAAGGGAAAAATTAATTTGGGGGGAGGAAAGGACAATATTGCTTTTCAATAAGACAAACCATAGCTGCTCTGCTTTATAATATTTATAAGAATTTTTACCCTCAAATTATGCAAAATGTCTTTGTAATATACAAGAGGCATGGCAGACCACAACATTGAGCAAGATTTTCCTATCTGCAATATGCCATGGCAATCTGCCCTCTAAAGTCTAATTACCTCTTTCAAAAGACTTGTGTGATTGTGCAAGCTGCACACAATTTCTGTTCCCAATTCTTTTTCTTTAGTGTAATAATGCTGATACTTGAAGAAATATCTTGCTATCCAAACAAATGGCAAAGCATTTAAACAGTCAAAAAACTGCTGTGGATATCAAATGTGTAATAAATCATGTTTCCCAGCACAGACTATCATCTAGACTAACCACCCAGCGATGCTGGTTTCTTGACTGAGACACCATTGTCCTGAGTCAGACCAGTTTGCAAAATGGAAAGACAGCTTCCACATCCAGACCATTCTGGTCACCGTGTGTCATGGGTAGCACTTAGTTATGGTGAATGCAGATGATTACATTGCTCCTGAAATCCCTATTTATATCACCACTGGAGGCTTCCACTCCTCTGCTATTTTATTCAGTAAGAATCTTTTCTATGCATCAGCCAAACCACTCATCCAGGGCCCTGCAGCACTTGCAAGCTTGTTTTTCAGGTTTTCATGCAGTCCATGTAGGATGGGTGGAGAATGTTTATGGTACCGAAGTCCTTGTGTCATCCAGTCTGAATAACCTTGGAAAGTGCATACTATAGCTTGTACTCCCTGATGTCATTAAGAGTAATATTAAATATTAAGTCTGTTGAGAAATAGTGAATTGTAATGTGCTGTCTACAAGTTCTAATTGACCTCAATATTTTTGATCACATAAGTAAACAAAAAAGCATACAAAGCACGCTTTATAAAATGAGACTTTTTGCTATCTTGTTTGCTACCTGCTGGCTTCAAAATGTAAAGGCAAAACACTAGTCTTCATAGAAATTAAGGAAAGGCCAATAGTATTCAGTGTAAAACTTACTATACTTGTCATCTGGAAGAATACTATTTTTCTCTGACTTACAAAACAAAATACATCTGATACCAAAAGAATAATAGCTTGAAATAAAATATTTAATTCCAGAAGTGGTGTTGAGTTTGATGTCCTTACGCAAAGAATGCTGAATACAAATTACATAGTAAAAAGCCTGGAAACTTTATGGTACTGAGGCTAAAAGAATTTTTTAGAGAAGCATACCTTAACTTAAGAACTGCTAATTACATATAAATTGAAAATGTGCATCTTATGAAAAAAGTGGTGAACTTACATTAAATAAAATGATAGATATATTTATTAAAACTTCTGACAGTTGAATTTCATAAAAACAGAGAAAATAAAATTCCCTTGAAAAATGCAAAGTCAAACAGTCAAATAAGGAAGTATATGCAAAACAAAATAATCATGTAGAATACTCTTAATCCAGAGGACAAGGGAAGCATGGAGGATACTATGAATTTTAAATATTTGTAGGTGAGTGGATGTTATGCATCTACTAAATCGTACCTGCAATATCTGTATTCACCTTTGAAGCAAAATAATTTAATTAGAAAGGATTTTGGCATCAGGAAGCCAGGATGACTTCAGTTTGCAGGAACCTGTTTAGATTATGATGGTTTAAAATGTAGCCTTTTACCAGTTGATACAGCTGGTAGTTGAACTGAACCAACAGAAAACAAACCATAGCTCCTAGGCAATTTCTCAAAGTGCTGAGCAATCAGAACAACTGAGTGTTGGAAGCTAATGTCACAAGTGATCATAGCTGTTTGGCACAGTCATCAGATTTCTCTCTGTTTGGGCAGAGAACACAATTTTTTGGGAAAAAAAAAAAAACGTGGTCATGCTCACAGTCTCTGTGTTTGGCCAAAGAAAGCCAAGTAACAGCTCCTAGTGCTTTGTGCTGTGCATCAACAGTAAAAATATCTTTCCTCTGACTGTGTTTTAAAATTATTTTAGCTCAATCTTGTACATTTTGCAAGTAGGAATTTTGTAGCTTATTAGAGGACTGACTGAGACAGTTGTAAGACTTTAGCAAGCAAATCTTGGGTATTGTTGCTGCTGGCTTTTGGTAAAGTATCATATTCTGTTTGGTAAGTCATACATTAGTAGACCATTGTACTTGATGATAGACTGTTTCCAGGTTCATTTTTAAAAAAGATGAAATATTTATACTGGGTTACAGGCTTTTCTCAGTAACACTGTCTTCTGTAGGCCACTTAATCTCGCAATTGTAACAGTTCTTCCATCCGTGACAATAACTTTGCACCATAGTAAAATATTATTGTGTATTACAAAAAAATTTAAATATGATCTTTCATCCTAAAAGCCCTGAATTCTGAAGATTCACTTTAATTTCTGAAACCCAAAGAATCACTTACCTTACATCTGCACGTGGAGGAACAGTGCTGTGAAACTCCTGTGCCAACTATTTGTATTACAGAGTGTGAAGCAGAGCAGCATCTGGGGAGTCAGGGCGTGGGCAGGCTCCTCTCCCTGCCTGCCAGCAAGCCTGGCAGTGCGGCTGTGCCAGCACAGAGGGCTATTTGTTTTGCTAAATCTAAAGCTGCTGTAGGATCCATTCTCTGCCCTTTCAGAGTCACAGTTTGCTTCTCAGACCAGTCTACAGCCACCATAATATACCCAGTATGTTTGGAAAAATCTGGTGGCTGACCTTCAGTTCTTTCTTTTTTCTACATTTGCTTTCTTCTGTAAAGCACAATTTCAGAGCCCTGATTAGGCATTTGAAAATTTCCTGACACTCCATTTGGATTATTTTCCATATTTTTATACTTTCCGTATTTTTATATTTAATACAATAGTATTGCTACTCCACACACTTTATGACTCCTCTTTAAATGAAGTTATCAACAGTGGCAGTTGGTGAGATTTCCAGTTTTCTGGATAAGTGACTGAGATGGAGAAGCCACACCAACTTCTGTTCAGTTTAGGAGATTAAAACAGGGAGAAAAATGAAGGCAAAGAAATAGCTTTCCTCCCTTTATGCTTCAGTATCTGTAGCAACTGAGGCACCTTGTATCCCTCTGAGCCCCCAGACCTGTTCTTCTGAGCTTCCTCAGTCTGTAGATGTCACCTCCTTCGCACTACAAATGACCCAAGGAAAGAACCTGTGGAGGACTTCTCCTGCTTCCCAAGCAAGGGCACCTGGGCAGTGTCATGGCAGGTCCTAACATCAGAATGGCTGGGTGGGATGAGGGCAAGGTAGGGTTTCCCTCACATCCAGCTTAGTGTCCTATTTCCCCCAGTGGCCAGCAGCAGGTGGTAATTAGGGAAAGAACACAGAAGAGGACAAGTTTGGAAAGATGCTTTGCTGGTATTTTCTCTGAGCTTTGGGCAGTCTGTGGCACAGGGACTTCCAGAAACCAGAGTCTGTAGGTGCATTCTTGTGCTTAATGTGTCTTGATGGACTTTTTATGAATTTTTCTAATTTCTTTCTGAACCATTCATAGTTTTGGCATATACAACATCCTGTGGTAATCAATTCTGTGATTCAGTTATGTTCTGTAACAAAATGTTTCCTTTTCTTTACATCTTCGTAATTTCATTAGGTGCCTCAACTTCTCTTATCATGAAAACAATTAATACTTTTTCTCTGATCTATTTTCTAATTACCTACATTGTATTTTTTTCTCTGCTTTCTTAGACAGAAGCAGCTTGACACCTTTGTTGCTCTTCTCAGTACATTTTCTGGGTACATTGCATCTTTTTTGAGACAGGGTGACCAGCAGTGTAATCTATATTCATGAGAAGAATTTAAAGAGTAGTGTAACTATATTTTTCTAATAATTCACATTTATTTTGCCTTTCAGATATCTGTTGACTGACATTTTCATATCTCTCTATTGGATGGTAATAGCTCATTTAAAGCTCATTACTATGTGTATGTATAAACATAGTTATGCACTCGCAGGAAAACTTGTCTTTACTCTGCATTTATCAACAGTGAATTTCACCTGCCATTTTGTTAATGACCTGTATTATGAAATAATTTTTAACCTTTTTCAGTAGATTTGACTTCCCAACATAATTTTGTATCATCAGCAAACTACATCACCTTCTTGTTCTCTCCTTAGCCTAAAAATCCAGTAAGTTGAAAACCATGGATCTCTGTCAGGCTGCAGTGATAATCTTTCTTCCTCTGTTGTGAAATCTGACCTCTTGCCTACTGTACTTCAAAGGATATTAAATGACAAGCCCTCTCATCCTACGACAGCTTAATTTTCTTGGTGAGGGACTTTGTAAAAAGTTTTCTGAAAATAGAAGGTACACTGTTATCAACTGATTATTCTTATCCACATGCTTATTGACTCATTCAAAGATAACCTATAGATTGAAAAACTAAGACTGTTGATAATTTGCTATTTTACTTACCCAGATGTCTTCTAATTCTATTATTACAATTTAATTTCTTCATGAAGTCTTGAGTAACAACAGAGGCTTTCTACCACCACAGAGTCCATCAAAGCTTTCTGTGCAAAAAAAAAGAAAAACTATGGGGACCTAAAAGAAATCTAAAATATTAAAGTTTTTTTTTTTTCAGAACTGCTTTCAGACTCCTAATAAAGATGATTTTTAATTACAGCAATTAAGAATCTGTCAGCACTACTGAACTTCAAAATTAACAGCTTTAATTTTGGTGCTTGAAGAGACAGATGAAGAAGACCACAACAGCCTATTTAATACTCTATATTTGAGAAGAACTGAGTCTTTATGATCAACCAGTATTATGGTGGGTTTCTAATAAAAATTAACCAATTGCATTTTATGCAGAGTGAGACTTACTTATATGGCTCTGGTTTCCTGTACAGCATCAACATCTCAGCACTCAACACCACTATTTTCTTTCTGCACCAGTGCATTATGCACCAAGCCTATCTGATAAGCTGGACTAATAATTCAGACTTCTGAAACAAAAATGAGAAAGGCACTACATGACAGTCAGTGTACTGTGCTACTAGAAAGCACACCTTTCTTCAGTAACCTTGAACTATGAGTCATACGCAACAGATACCCAACATCAGACTAGCATGAACTTGGGAGGCAACTTCTATAATTAGTCGAGTATCTGATTTTTTCCTTTTGTATTTAATAAAAAACAGATCAAGGCTAGACAATAGGTTTTTATCCCTTCTATTCTCAACATCACCTTTCCATTCACTGAGGTTCATTGATGTTACGAAGATTCATGGCTAAACCAGTACGCTCTATGTATTTCCAACCTGGAACTAGTATAATTCATTAACATTAGGACCTATAGTTGGAAATAAGCTTTTGACTTCTGCAAAACACAGCAACCAGTTTCCTTGACGAGAAGCATGTCACTAGTGCTTCACATTAACCATTGTCAGCCAAATTACTTACCAATTTGGAGTCTTGATTCTGAGGCACTGGAGTAAAAAATCCTTGACCAGTAATTAGCTATCAAAGCTATTGTGTTTCTTTTGGGTTTTGTACACAATATATATACATGGTATTTCATCCTCAGATTAAATATGAAGAAGACAGTGCGATATGCCATTAGGCATTCTGAATGAAGCCTACAGAAGAGCCCATCTAAACAAATAGAAGGAAATTAATCAGAGGCAAATAAGATCCATAAAGCTGTGTATGTGCATAGGTTCTCAATGGTGTATACAGCATTGCAGCTAAACGTGACTGAATGCAAGAAAGACAACATAGTGAAAATTATTTCTGAGGAAAACTGTGACAGTAATCAAAGACAAGATACAAAATGTGAGAGAGGTGAGAGTTAAGCTGCTAAATCTTAGGGAGAAATCTAATGTGTATATGATACAGTTTTTAAATTCAGAGATAATACAGTAACGGACAGCCTTCAAATGATTTAGCTAGCTAGAAGCAATGTATTAGATTTTTGAGGATAAATTGTAGTAATTATCCCCAAAAGGACAGAGTGAGTAACCATCCACAGGTTTCCTGCATGATATTATGGGAGCAAATGAATCAGGCATATGCTTGTGATGTGGTGCCAGTGGGGGAGGAAAGGAGACAGAGACCAGATGTTCCTTAAGAAGCAAGATTTAACAAGAAAGGAAAAGCAGAACTTCCTCCTAATAAGATCAACATACTCCTTGTTTTTCATTCAAAAGAAAATTTCAGGAATGTCCTGCACTGATTTAGATGGTTCAGGAAAAGGTATGTACAAAAGGCTTTCATACACTTACTTTAATTAAGGAAAACAACCATAAAAACAAGTAGTAAAGAATGGAATGGAAATCACTCTTTTTAAACTAATCATTAATCCTAGAATGCACTGCCTAAGTGGAGCAAGTAAAATAGAAAATCAGTAATTCTTATGACAAGAATAAAATTGCTGTTGCCATCAGCCTTATTCTGGTTCCTGATAAATTCTCATTATATTTTTGATCCGTTTATCTAAAACAAGTACTTCATACTGCATTCCTGCTTAGAACTAGCATTATGTGGCTGCTCATCAGTCTGCTTTTCCAGGTGTCTGAGAAGAATCATTTTGTTCAGATCCATTAAAAGGATTCTTAAATATCCTCATGTCTAAAGGTTGCAACTAAAAATCATAACCTATAACTAAAAGCCATGATGTTTTCTGAATTGGAAACTGATCTGGTGCCTACTGAATATAATGGGAGCATGTGACAAGCAGTCCATTATGTCTTCAAACAGATACAACCTGTTCATTACACGGAGTCACTTCAGTTATTATTAATGTGAGCTTTTCCCCCTAAGACAGGACTATGGCTTTCTAAAATATGTGGATCTTGGTATAAATATGAGGGATACAGATGGTCATGAGGTCGCAAGATATTGATCACAAAGAAGACATGTCAGTGATCTGAATCAATGCTTTGATCTGAAATCTGACTTGTGTTATTATTGTGTAGTCTTCAGAAATAGTGTACAACAGAATTGAACTTTGACAACTCTGTCTTACCAGAGGGACATTCTACTTTATTATGAACCAATCTGGCAATATAAAAAGGTCTACTGTGAATTGGAACCTGGTTCTACTGTTTCTTAGCAAGTATCAGCAATCTCTTTACAGGGATGCCATACATTAACAACATGATAAGCTTTTAATGAGTCTTAAGGAAAGAATAGTTACAGTTATACTGCAAAAAGGAAAAAGGATTAAGACTGTTTGCCTAAGATTCAAATACCTGATGAATAATCAATTTTCTGATCACCTTTCATAAGCAATTATTTATCATTTGCATAATTTATGCTCTCTGGAGGATGGGATTAGCTAGTAAATACTACGGAGTCATCAATTATACTGTCAGTGTTTTCCACATTGAGTTTCAAAACACATGATGAAAGAACAAAATGTCAATGAGATGATGACATGAAGACAGAGAGACATCTGTGTCTACTGAAAATTAACTTTTCGGCTAATGTTATGCCTAGTGAGCATCCTTAAATGGCATGGGTGTCTGTATATGCACGCACATACATGCATACCCATCAGGGTCCAAATTAATTTTCATAAAGTACCCTGAACAGAACAGAATGTTCTGTTTATAATAAGCCACTATTGACCAAATAAGTAGGAATTGAAGACCTGGAAGTCATTTCATGTTTATTTGATAAGGTAGTCTACATATAGAGCTGTGTAATTGCAGTTGAAACTAAAGTTCTGCCGTAAACATGGAAAAGCCCCAGTATGATATACATTTGTCCTCAAGGATATATTTGAAAAATTCTGTGTTGATATCTTGGATATTCTAACAAATGTTGACACGATAGGTTATTGTAGAATGGACCATTCTGACACCTAAACATAAATATTGTACTTTGAGAAAATAAGAAAAATACAGGTTTAGTTTTAGAATATACATTTTTGTAATGCTAATTCTGACACTCCTTTCTGAACAGAAACTTCTAGCATAAATGAGAGTTGGATAGTGACTATGTGGTATAGTTTTTCAGAAAAGATGAGTAACTGAAGGCAACAAAGGTTATTTACCTGCATCTCTGAAAAT